TTGTTCTTTGTATCAGTGCTGTATAAGTTTTGTCCTGTTATTGTTCTTTTCTTTCTTTATTTCTGTATAAACTTTTCAAAATACCTAATAAACAATATTTTTAAAAAATCAGTCCATTTGTCACCATGGACTTTATAAAAAAATGTGAGAAAAGTCACATGATTGCAATCAGATGTGGAAGGGAACAAACTGACTTTCTGAGGGAAGGTGAATAATTAGCACAACGAAGCCGAACAGCAAAACGAGAGGAAAAGAGAAACAAAAACTCCACACAGTGCAGCAGAACTGTGTCTCTCTCTTTCTCCTGTTTGGGATTTTCTGGACCAAGTCGACCGAATGATGCATAAGATGGATCATAATAAGTGATCATCAATGTAGTTGAGACCTGCAAAAAAACAATCAACCTTTAACATATGTACATATTCCTCTGTGAGAATGTGGACACATATACACATACTGATTTTTTGTATTTACCATCTTTAAGATGTTCTTCTCTGTAGTCCAGTTTGTTTTTAACTTAAAAAGAACTCGAGGTGCAGAAAACAATCCTGAATCTCATCCTGCAGAGCGTCACTAATATCAGTGGCAGCCCACCCTGGTGCTCAACCCCACACCGCCATCTTGTATGTTTTAGGGATCTCCTTGCTGCTACAAGCACAGATGAGTATCCTTTAAGAATGCTGAGGGCCATTGTCAGAGGCTACAACATTCACAGCCTCAAATTATATTTCTGTTGGATACAGCTTTCAAGCTAAAACTGAATTGTTATTGTTGATACATAAAATACACATGGTGAAAGTTTTATTAACACAAAATAATGTGTTAATGCAAAATTAACTGGAATTGCCTTTTGGAAATTTGCCCAATAGTATGTCACCCATCTTTCCTGGAAAAATTCATTCAAAGAAAAGAGAACAATTTACAATTGACATCCAAGGCAGGCTGGTTGTTAGCCTAGCCAAGGCTAATGGTAGCCTAGCCAAGGCTAATGGTAGCCTAGCCAAGGCTAATGGTAGCCTAGCCAAGGCTAATGGTAGCCTAGCCAATGTTTATGTCAGCCTGCCTGTACTAATGGAAGGTGTTTCATGTGTTTTATTTAATCAAAGATCACGGTAAACTTTATTTAATTTATTTTATACCAGCTTTCATTAAGCTGCTGGTGTAGTGAAGTGTAGGTGTAGAGGTGGTGAGGCAGGATGCAGTGAACCAGGATCAGATGAAATGATGATAGTTTAATGATGAAATAAGGCACAAAACATCAAACGTCCAAAACCCTGGCAGCACAGCTGAGAAGAAAAACAAAAGGTTCAACGCTGATAGCAAACTGGTTCACGAATGGACTGCTGACGAAGGACTGGAAGAACATGAGACACACAAACGACTAAGACCTGACGAGGAACATAGAACACAAGTGGGATTAAATATACGGAGAATAATCAGGGAATGAGAAACACGTGGGAATAATCAAGGGGAGACACGACAACACAGAGACACAGAAACTTAAAAATAAACAGAAAAACACAGATCATGACAGCTGGATTACTTCATATTTTCACTTTACATGACAGGCAGCTTATAAATGGCTTTAGTTGACCGTCTGCATTGTCATCATTACTGTAAACAAGTCATTGTTTGGCGGTTAATCAGGTCAAAATATGTTTTTTTTAGCTATTTTGTAACTATATTTTAAAATATTTTAGTTTAATTCCACTCTTTATTACTAAACTTTGCTGAATAGATGTTAGTGATACGATGTGGGACTGAAGCTGTAATAACCTGTAATATTAGTGCATATGAATCATATCCCATCATTTCGGTGACACGTGGTTGCATAATAAAGTTGCTCAAACAACTGATTAACGCGTAAAAAAAGATCTGCGGTGATCTGGATTTGTCTTTAATTCCCTGATACTGTTTTACTCTAAGCCTCTGTATTTAAAACAGACCTGTTAAAATATTCTAACAGTAGATATTGTAGGAAAGGATCAGCTACATCTGCAGCTTTTCATTACAAACTTTGGTAGGATATTCAGATGAAGGAAGTAATCTTCTTCTGGTTTCATCATCATATAAATTGTTCAATGCTAAGCTAACCAGAACTGCTAAGCTTCCACTTCAGTCACTAAATAATCCAATTATTTAACATTAACAAGCCGCTGCAGTTGTTTTGTAAACATGACGGTAACAATTTTGGAACGCATAGCGCCGACAGATAGACTTACCTATCTATCCGTGCTACGGTAGAAAAATCTGACAAGGTAGCTCTGATAGTCAGAATGCTGCCTAATCTGGAGGGTGACCTTTGAGTAGTCCCTGGAACAAGAACACAGAACAATATCTTTGAGGAAAAGGTGGATCTGAGATCATTTATGCAAGCAGACAGCCAGTAAAACAAGCATGGCAACAGTGCCAGCCAAAGCAAACTGTTGCATTGGCTGGCAGTGTTTTCCCTATGAAAGGATGCTTCTTTATAGGAAAAACTCTATAAAAGGCTAATTCAAAAGAGGAACATTTGGTTGAATTCCCCAGACAGATTCTAGCCAAGATCAGGATAGACCAGGGATGGCCAACCCGCGCCTCGCGAGCCGCATGCTGCTCCTACGTTCATATAGTGGCTTATAGTGGATGACCAGAAGTAGTCAAATAAACTGTCATTTATTGACAACAGCAGCACGCCATCACTGTTGGCCGTAACCACGCCAAAACAACACAAACAAAAGTCTTTGTTTCTCTTGCAGCTCTCACACAAACCTCCGCTCACCCCTCACTCCCCTTGCTCTCTCATCCATCCTGATGCATTCGTGGACAATGGGAAATCACACACTCTAATTTAAATTTCTAAACAGCGTGACATCCAGTAACATTTCGCACATACTGTGGGGTCGCTATAATATCCACGTTTCGCTTCGCTTGAGTTCTACACGGTATTTTCGTCAAATGTGCGCAGTTTTTCAGTAAAAGTGAAATCATTTGAGTAAACCTTTCGCGCTCAAAATGGCAGGAAAACAAAAATATGAAGATGAACATAGGACGTTTTTGACAGTGGGAGAATTCTTTTTTTTTTGTTGAACGTAGTGGAAAGCCATTCTGCCTTATATGTCAAGTGTCCTTGTTGCATTTTAAGGCTTCAAACCTTCAGCGCCACTTCAGCTCATTCCATTAAATAACACATGTAATGCACATAATATACGGAGCCCCATAGGGGACATGGAGAATTTTTTACTTTTGCATCCCCTCGCAAGACGGAAATGTATTGCGTCCCCTCACAGTTTTGCGACGGCATGCAAAAGAAAAAAAATTCCCATGTCCCCTAGGGGGCTCCGTAATATTAAAAGGAAAATGTCTTGTAAATTGTTCTATTATTGTTTGTTCATTTTTGTTTGTTCATAAACAGAGTTTGTTTGGATGAGGAAGTGCACAGTGTTCATTGTTGAAAATGTCTGGCCTGTGGTCCTTGTAGTGTTAAAATAGTGAGTGAAATTTACAATAAATCTGGCTGAGCAAAAGTATGTGAGTATGAGGAAATGATGGGTTGATGTGTGCCCATGCATATGATGTGGCTCTTTGCGGTAACTTGGTAAAAAATGTGGCTCTTGGTCGTTGTCTGGTTGGCCACCCCTGGGATAGACAAAGAACTCTGCAGCTGAAGAAGAGCCTGGGCCACAAAGACTGTCCTGTGTATGGGGACCAACCCATCAGTCCTGCAACATGTGGCTCCAAATTGGACTTCTCTCATCATCTGAGTTTAGATTCCAAAGCCAAAGGCCAAGACAAAGGACAAAGGCAAAGAAGAGGAACCTGTTGTTCTAAATCAGGACTCTAACTGCCAACACCCAAGGCCTAAGGAAACTCAGCATCCATGCAAAGGTGAAAGCTCCTCAGACCTGCAGGGGTGTTTGCCTTCATCGATCAGCACTGTGAGGCTCTTCCTGCAGGGTCAAATTCTTCATCATCAAGCCAGTTCTGGGTTTCGATATTCTATATTCCTTCTCTCAAAGTTTCCCTTTTTAGTTCTGTGTCAAGGTTAGGGAAAGATATGTTAGATTGAGAGGATGTATTTTTCTTACTTGATTATTTCTGGTACTGAATTAAGCTGTACTGACCCTTGCAAAAACATTGCCTTACCTAATAAATTTTTAGCATAAAGGAAAATCTAAAAGAGAAATTACCATAATAGTGTGGTAATTTCCTGACAAATCAGGCTGATTCTTATGCATTCAGTTGGTATCCTGGACTACTCAGTTCACAAAGGGTTCCACTTATTGGCGAGCCAGCCAGGAGTTTAGTTTATTGGCTTGCAATCTTCTACCTACACAACACACAATTTTGTTGCATTTCAGACAATTGATCTTTGTGAGTAGTTTGGGGTCAATTGCCTAACAACCCTGTATATTTGAGTCAAGCTGTACTGATGACGTTAATTCTAATGTTTTTCTGTTAAAGCTGCAGTAAGCAACTTTTATAAAAAATGCTTTTTTTTTTTACATATTTGTTAAAATTACCACAATATTTCCACAATTTATTTTGAGACAGATAATCTGTGAAAACATCAAGCTCCTCCTCTTCCTCCCAACTAATGACAGGTACAGAATTGCACTGTTCCCTGTCAACAACAAGTCAGAGCCAGGAGAAAGGTCTTAGCGCTGCCAATCTGCTTCATGTACACAGAGAAACAACTTACTGTTATAGGACAACTGATTATCCAATGAATAAATGTATGAATGCATGTACTTTATGGCATTGCAGTACAACTCATCCAATAAATATTAATAATAAAAACAACAACAACATAGGCAGCCAGAGGCTAGAAACACAGCAATTTGCAGCTTTCAGGATTCACTCCTCCAGAACTTTGAACCATTTGTCTGCTAACATGAGAAGAAAAAAACACGTATGCGGAAGTTTTGCTATACTGATCTTGTATCGTGGGCGGGAATCTGTTTTATCTGGGAGGGTGTGTGCAAGGAAGTACAGTTGGGGGTAGTTGCATGTAGTTATTTTTAACTATCAGAACTGTTGGAACGTAGCTCACCTTCGAAGGTGAAGATGAGGATTTAGAAAAGTACACGTTTTTATTTTAAATGATTCAAGTTAAATATTGGAAGTCTATTCAATGACTAAGTTATTGAGCCTGGAAGTGAGATAACAGTTGTGGAAACGTCATGAGGATTGTTGTACGTGACGTGGTCAATGAAAGGAGGAGGATTGTATTTAAGGTGGGACTCAGATGCTTCCAGTTCTCTCTGCAACGAAGCAGCAACATATGGATCTGTAAGCAACATGGGATTAGTAAGTTCAGCTATTTATTCACAGACATTCTACCAGAAGAACAATAATAAATATATTGTCTTAGTTTCTTCTTAATATGTAACTTTTGTTTTCAAATTAACAGTTTTTTTGTAAAGGAAGAGGAAGTGATCAGAATATGTATCGACGTGAGTATTTTTCAAATTGTCCAGTTCTTCTCTAATTCTCTGAATGTCGAAACCATTTGTTTTCAGAATTGTATTTATTTGAGTCATTTATGAGCAGCTAACCCTATCTCATTATCGTCATTAAATAACATTAAAATTAGATCTCATAAGGCTGATTGAAATATGAAACCCATATCTGATCATTTCTGACGTCTTGTGAGCAACAAAAGAAAAATATTTGTGTTTAAAATTTGATTGACTTCATATTAATTTAAGAAATTTTTTCTGCTCCAGAGGAAACTAACAACCCTGCTGTGGGTGGAGTCGACCTGTCTTCAGATCCTGAGTGTGCTGCTGTGGGTGGAGTCGACTCGCCTCCAAATATTAACAACCCTGCGCTGGGTGGAGTCGACTCACCTCCAAATACTAACAACCCTGCGCTGGGTGGAGTCGACTCACCTCCAAATACTAACAACCCTGCGCTGGGTGGAGTCGACTCACCTCCAAATACTAACAACCCTGCACTGGGTGGAGTCGACTCACCTCCAAATACTAACAACCCTGCACTGGGTGGAGTCGATCATATCCAATATTTGGACACTGAGCACAGTGCTCTAGGTGGAATAGATGTATATCCCGAACTCACCCAGAAAGTGGGATAGATCCACCTCCCATATTAGACCTGTTAGGTCTGAAATGACAGGTGAGTGAATAATCCTAACCCTAACACAGCCAGTAACTGAAATACATAAAGTGTTTAAAATAACAGTAGAATAAAGGTAAAGAAAAAAAAATCTAAATGTTAACTTGTGAGAACAGAAATGCAAAAGATCCACAAAATAAACCCTTAGGGAGATGATACTAGAAAAAATTAAATCAGAAAATCAACTTGATGAGAAAAAAGGTTGGTACAGACTGAATGGATTACATTTCTTTCATAGAAATCATTGTGTTGGTTGGAGATTCATAAATGTCATTGATCAAGAAGGAATTTCACCTTGAATAGACAGCAGCAATTTTAAATATATATTTAAGTAAAGGACCATTAAATATGTTTTAATCTTTATGCTGGTGGAACAAGCAGTGAGATAGAGAAAGTCCTGAGAGGGTAAGAGCCTGTCAGTCAGAAAGTTTATGCTGAAATAAACTGGAAATATCCTCATGATTTACTCTCTGATCGTCTGTTTTCATCTTTCAGACAAAGAAGAACCACAACAAGGAAATTATCATTCTGACTCACTGGGCTTAAGAAAACTTTGGTGATGCCTTTCTCAAAAAATAAAAATATATAAAAATGTTGTGATCTGCAATAATAGATCCTCCGATTAGTTTTTACTAATTGTTAATTGTTGATGTCTGTGAACTATTGAAATCTTATATTTTCTAAATAGATGTATATTTCCTTTCTGAACCATGTTTTTATGCTTAATCTGAGAATTATGTAATGTATTGAGTCTTTAAAAGATTTTCACATAAGTCTGTAGTTGTCTTAATTTTCATCATGAATTTTACAGAACATAAATATATTGGAAAATAAAAAAGTAAGTGAGGGAAATTTGTGGATGTTTTTAAAGCCAGTTGTTCAATACACCTTAGTTTAATTTCTTTTTTTGTTTTTAATTTGCATTGCTTCATTTTAGTTTTTGTCCCCTTGCACTTGATCAATGCTTGTTTGAAATAAATAAAGTTATAAATAAAATAAAAAATTACTTTATGTCTTTGGGTCTTTTTTTAACAAACAGACTTTAATCTTTTGTTTACACATTTTTATTTGTCAAAATCTTGAATATTTGGAAAATGATTGTGTGAATTAATCAGACAGCGTATTACTACTAGCATAGTTATACTAAGCTACAATAAATTATCAAAAAATCAAGGGCAAAGCATTTGTAGAGGAATATTTCATATGGTGTGAAATATAGAACCTCATAAGAACCAGAATAGTTTCAAATAGCTGAGACAAACAACAAAAAGGAAATTATTTTTAAATTCTGATGAAAAACTGATTTTTTAATCTACCATGAATCTTTGTTACATCCTTATAACTTTATGCTCACAGTCTGGTGGTTCAACCTGTGTAACAAGTAACAAAAAACCTTTCAGGTCACGCTGAAAAGAAATTTCTATAAAATCAAATGGAAATGCTTAACATATAATATAAAAAACTTAAGATTTATAAGTGATTTAATACATATTCACCCTCTTTAGGAGCTGACCTCAATGCAGTGACCGTCATGTCCACTGGATGTGGCCAATCCCCTGAGGATTCGATCATCTGCACTGCAAGACAGAGACGCGACGGTCAGGTGCAGAATCTGTTCGTAGATTCAGGTGAGCAGGAGAGTTCACTGCAAAAACCCAGAAATATGACTGGCTGTAGTAAAGTTACTATAATCCATGATTTTTATTGTGGTTCTGTTGGGTTGATTCTTTGCAGTGGTTTTTAATTTGATTTAGTGCTAAATAAAAATGTAATATTTGATTAAAATATTGCACAAAATTAAGAATGCCTTTGTTCATAACAGAACACATACATAAAATCAGACATTTATAAGGCTTCTAATAAAAATACTAAATGAAAAAAGATTTATTAAATGTACAACATTCATATTTACCAAGTTAACTAAGAAATGAGGCTACAGATAATAATAGGTTAAGAGCAGCTTGGGAGATAACAGAACCTTCTTTGGGAGTCAAACCACAGGAAAATATTCATACTTCCCATCTCTAAATGCAAACAAAGAACTCAGTGCAGAAAGAGATGAAGCACTGGGGGAGAAGTGGCAAAGGAACCTGAACAGCAAATCAGAGAGGAGATGGAAAACAGCTGCGTTGAGAAGAAGGTTGAGGGAAAGAGGAGAAACTAGTAAATAAAGGAAACAGCCTGAAATTAACCTGAACAAAAACATTTAAAAATAACCAAAGTCCAAAATCACAACAATAACAAATGAGCTCAATAAAGATATAAGAAAATGAACAAAGAAATGATCAAATAAAACATGAATCGAACATAAAACACCTTCACATCAGTGAGTGCGTCTCAAGTAATTGTTGTATGAAACCATCTGTCTGAAAGGTGCATTCACTGGTTAATCAGCAGAACTGGATGCCATTACAGTATAAAGACAGAAGAATACTCAAAGTCAGAGTAAATGTCTGTTAGAGGATGAAAGTGACAGTTCTGTCAGGAAAGCTGCTTCTGGATGGACGTGTCTTTAACCGGTTCTTCTACAGTCAGACTCAGCCTGATTCATCTGTATTAGCAGATCAAGAGTCAAATTACACTGCAGAAAACGAGACAGTGGTGAACAACATGCAGCATCATGCTGAGGAACATGGCAGACAGAACAATGGTTCAATTAAAGCACAATGTTAAAGTTCAACTGAAAACTGCTTAACAATACATTAAAACTTACAAATGAAAACTAAGAGAAAGTGTCTTGTGAGTCTTGAGTCCAGCAGATGCTTCAACAGATCGAGCTGAATTCACCCAAACTGCAGAACAGGCATGAAATGTTCCTAAAGACATTTTATCTGTTGCACTGGTTGAATCACAGACTTGACTTGGCAACAGAACGAACGGCTGGCATGTGTTACCCTGCGATGGACTGGCGACCTGCCCAGGTGACCCCGTGTAACAGGTTGGCCTTTTTCGGCTGGATTTTTCAGTGCAGATGGACGAGATGAGGCAGCGTTAGGTGGAACAGCAGGTTTACTCCTCCCACCATCAGAAACACAAGTCACAATCTCAGTATCACACAATCTCAGTGTCTGTATCTCAATAAGTATCACATGTGAAAATTACAATCTTAAATAATCCCAGCTGTGACAGATCAAACAGTCGGTAAATTCATAAGGGAATCCCATTTTACCCTGTTCCACTTAATTAAATAAAATACATTTTACTACAAACACATCAACTTCCTTTTTATAAATATTTTTTATGTTTGATCCTTACCAAAACACCATAAAACAGTACACCCTCTCCCATTCTTCTCAATGGTCTCTCCCAGGCCTATAACATTGTCCAGCCCCTTAGGACAATATTTGTCCAAATATCCTGAGGACACAGAAAAGAGTCACTCTATATTAACACTCCACACCTAATAAATTATGCACATCATTTACTTAGTGACCCTAAGTAAATTTATCCACCAATAGCTCATTGCTCTGAGTAACAATTATCCTCTCTTCACAGTCAAAGAACAAAGGCTACACACTAATCCCTAAAATACTCAATAAATACAATTAAAACTTTCTGTGTGCAAAATGTTATTCATTTACAGATCTACTTTTAAAGTGCAGTGCTAAATAAAGTCCATAGTGACAAAGTGCAAATGTTTTTTACAGTGCTATACAATACATTGAATAAATGACTCAGTAATGAAGGCCTCTTCATTACACTCCACCTCTCACCTTTGACCTCTGGAGAGGCAGCAGCTGAGGAATGAAAGATGGATGGATGGAGGCTGGCGTGGCGTAAACATTTAAAATAGAAGAATAATTTCTGATCAGATAATGCAACATTGTTTTATTGTTGGTAGGTTTTGAAAATGAAGCAAAAAATAAGAACAAAGTCTTGATTGATGCTGATGGGAGTCGAAATATTCACTTGCAGGAATCATCGTGTAACGAAGCACAGCGGCACACTGATGTGTTAATCTGATCTCACCTTGAAGTGTCATTATTTTTATTTTGTGTATGTTATATTTGACTTGGGTTGGGTCAACATGAAGACAGACACTTGGAATTAGTTTGATGAGGTTTAGAAATAATAAAGTCTCTGACAGGTGAACAGGTCGAGGAACATGATCAGAGACAGTTTAATGGGAAGGAAAACAGATACTCTCAGAGAAATCAGCAAAGAATGGCGTTGATGGAGATGATTAAATAATTAGAGATCGCTGAGGATGGCTGAGGATCACTGAGGATCACTGAGGGTCGCTGAGAATCGCTGAGGGTCGCTGAGGATTGCTGAGAATGACTGAGGGTCGCTGAGGATACCTGAGGATCGCTGAGGGTCACTGAGAATCGCTGAGGGTCGCTGAGGGTTGCTGAGGATCGCTGAGGGTCGCTGAGGATTCCTGAGAATCGCTGAGGGTCGCTGAGGATCGCGGAGGGTCGCTGAGGATCGCTGAGGGTCGCTGAGGGTCGCTGAGGATCGCTGAGGGTCGCTGTGGATTCCTGAGGATCGCTGAGGGTCGCTGAGGATCGCTGAGGGTTGCTGTGGATTCCTAAGGGTCGCTGAGGATTCCTGAGGATCGCTGAGGGTCGCTGAGGATCGCTGAGGGTCGCTGAGGATTCCTGAGGATCGCTGAGGGTCGCTGAGGATCGCTGAGGGTTGCTGAGGCAGCTGGTTCATTCCAAACAGGATGTCGCTGTGATAGAAGCAAATAAGTGATTGTCTGTCCACCAAATGTACGATTTTTATCTACAAAGTTGGGATGCCAGCTTGAGAACCACACTGAATGTACAGATAGATATATTATTGGATGGTTGGGACTAAAGCAGCTTGGAATTTAGCTCTGGACTAGTCAAAGTCCAGACCTAAATACAATTGAGGAGCTACTGAAAAATGTAGAAAATGACCGCTGATGTTCTCCAACAATTAGACAATATATTAAATATGTCTGTTTGATTCCAGTTAGTTCGTTTAGTTGGGTTCTTGTGGCTTTAACTGAGAACACAATGATCTGAACAAGCAAAGTAAAACACAGTTCAGTTTAAGAAATCTGCTTACATCAGCAACCTGAGTTAGCTGGTAGGACGAATATAAAAATACTAATATCTGAAGCTGAAGGAGTCATCATGTAGGTAGAGTGAATTTGAAACCAACTCTATGTTGACCTGTTCAGGTTTTATAGTAGAAGGAGAAAAAACATTTATAAAAAAAAACGTTCTTGTTTAAGAACTTCCAAATCTCAACCTGGCAAGATTACATCATGGCTTCCTTCCCCAAGGCCTTGAGGAAGCACAATCCTTAAGAAAACTTGTTCCTAAATAAACTAAGTGACCTGAAATGACCTGATCTACATAATCAGATCATTTTGTAGATCTTTGGTCTTAAACTGTTAAGAAGTTACGCTTCAGGCATAAACCGTTAGTGAAAACAAAAGCTGTTTCCTGTAATACTAGTTCAACTGCAAACATCTCTCGTGGTTTTATGGTTTTACTTTCTGTGGGAGAATTGAAAAGATTAGTCTGGACCTGCCTAGAACAGAACTTCTAGACCTGCCCAGAACAGAACTTCTAGACCCGCCCAGAACAGAACTGGGTGTTTACTGCAGAGGTGGACGATCTGAGGTTTCCCAGCTGTGTTAAGGTCACTGAGTGGCAGGACTGTTTCCACTGTAGTTTATTAACATTGGTGGGTAACAGATCATTGCAATAATTTGAACATTTTTGAAGAAAAACATACCATATCAGAATGCTGTTGCATAACCTCAACATCGATCCATCGTTTGCCCTCCAACATATCATTTCCTGTTCTCCTTTTAGTGAAGTATCGGTGTTCGTTTTGTGTTTCTTATCTATCTCTTTTTTTTCTTTTTTGAGGACCAAACTCCAAATCCAGTGTACTTTACTGTGTGTAGTGCATCATTGTGGCATATCGTGTTAAAATTTCCAATCTATGCATTATTTTTT